AATTTTGACAGGCGGGTCAGCCCGAGAGTTTGGCATCGGCCCATATCACTAGTAGCACAACATAAAAAAATTCCAATAAAGAGAATGGAAAAGAATAAAAATCACCCAAAATAAAAAATATAGATATATATTTACAAAAAAAAGTGAATTTAAAGTTTTATAAAAACTCAAAACGCCTATCAAAATAATTATGTTAAATTTCTTTAAAACTTTGAACGAAGATATCTCAACAACAGGTTTTGATAAAATTCAAATGTCTATTAAAATAAAAAAGCTGCGCCAAATTTTTTTAAAACTTTGAACAAGGATTTCTTGACAACCACTTGATCAAATTTGGTTCACCTTTTTTTAATTTGAATACTATGATTCTAGAGGATTCATATAAAAAAAAAATCTCATCGAATTTGATCAAGTAGTTTTTGAGATATCTTTGTTCAAAGTTCTAAAAAAATTTGGTGCAGCTTTATTTGATAGGCGTTTCGAAATTTTTTCAAAACTTGGAATGAAGATATTTCAACAACCACCTGATCAAATTCGATAAATCTTTTTTTATTTTGATTGTATAGTCTAGAAGAGTCAAATAAAAAAAATTATCAAATTAGGTCGGGTGGTTGTTGAGATATCTTCATTCAAATTTTTAAAGAAATTTAACAGTTGAGTGTTTTAAGTTTTTTTTAAACTTTGAGCGAAGATATCATGATAACCACTTAATCAAATTCAATGAATTTTTTTCATTTAAATCTTCTAAACTCATACAATCAAAATAAAAGAAATAATTAAATTTGATCAGGCAGTTGTCGAGATACCGTATCTTCACTCAAAGTCTAGGGGGTATGAATAATAAATTTGGGGTATAAAAATAGCCCTTATATTTATTGATCAAAAATTATGGTACAGTTTTTACATTAAAAGATTAGTAGGGGTTGCGATTGCTCAAAATCAAGACTTATTGCAGAAGCAGGAGACGGACATCGACCCAAATATTGTAGACCATAGAAAGGTCTTCCTCTCTGCTCCAGCCCAACAAATTTCGCTAGCACACTTACATCCACGACTTTATTGATTTGAATCATAGAAACATGATAATTCAGATAATAAGATATCGCTGTCTTGATTTTTTTTAATTCGTCATCACCAAAATGCTAACTAATCTACTAAGTGCTATACTACAAGATACAAAGGATATTTTTGTAACAGTAGGATTGTTACTAAGTAAATAACCTGACATAATTGCTGGATAAATAATTAAGGTAATAATAACTAAATAGTTAATATAAATAAACAAATAACAATCAGTATAATGATCTAAAATAAACATTTTTCGGTATAGAAGCAGATATCTAATATAATATAAAGAACTAAATAAACTCAATACTACATATGTTGAAAATACTGAGATATTTAATATTTTCAAAAATCTGCATCTGCTTATCTCAAAATTGTCAATGCAATATGTACTAATATAAACAAAGTGAACATATTTGTCCTCATCATTTTCTTTATAATCTTCAGGACCAAAGGCATTTTTATAAGAATAAATAATATTGTCATTATCAATGCCAGTAAAAAGATAATCATATATTATAGAATCAATGATAAAATGGACAACAAAATCATACTAAAACAAATACTGATTTTTTTAGTATAAAGTATCAATACCCCTTTTTCCTCTTTTTCTCCAACACCCACAAAAAATGCTATAATATATGAAGCATAAAGTAGCAATACAATACATAACATCCAAAAAAATCTACTTTCAGCAAAATTCTGAATATAGTATGGATACCATTATATTCCAATAATAGAAGGGTATATGAAAATAGATAAAAATATGATAAAATCATAAATACATTTATAGGAGAAAATTCTCTTTCTTTTTCTTCTTTAAAATCTTTAAACAGGCCAAGCACTACCATTGGCAGTAATTCGGTCGTAACTATATTAATTGTATCATCAAGTGGATTATATTGATTATTTGTTACTATATTATAAACAAATTGCAGATCTTTTTTTAATGATATTATTATTTTATCATACACGAAGCCTATACTACTAAAGTGGAGAGTGGATCTAAATGCTGGATTAGCTCGATGTATACGTGGATATAATATCAAGAATGTAAATAAGTATGATTTTATAATTCTAATATTAATATGTTTTACTAATAATAATAATAATAAAGAAAATCAAATAAAGATTCAATGTGTGATTTAGTCAGAGCTTATAGAATATGAGAATCAAATCAAATGAACAGTTAAGTTATTTTTCTATGAAGCCAGATGTCACGTTAATATTACACAAATGCAAATATTACTGCATATAATGGTGGTCCATTAAATTTATATTAATGCATATTGTTACGACTGGTTGGAAGAGCAGTACAGTTTAACGATATCGATACTGTATCCATACAATAAAACTTATTGTTTGTGGAACAATGCATGTGCATAATCTGGCAAGACTGAAATGTGTGATAGGTTACAACTAATTGACTAATATCGGCACATATTAAATAGGTTTTAATGTCAGAATTAGATTTGAAAGAGCTAAAGAGAGGATTTAAACAAAACCTATACCAAATTTATGAGTAGAATCTTTTTCTTAGAGCACCAAGAGCGATTTTATAAGCAAAATTTTGAAGTAGAAAAATTTTTTTCTTAACAACCTCAGAACATATATATATTATCAATTATTTGTGAATTAATCATAAATCATATGAACAAACCAAATAACCCTAAAATTTGTGTAATATTTATCTACAGTAATAAATTATTCGAAATACACTTTAATAGATTTTTTTCATCAACTTTAGTGCAGTTCTTCAATTGAATATGTCAGACTTTAATGATGACGATAATAATACAGGTATTATTTACTCTCCTTCAATTGAGTAATAAAGAAATTAAATCTATTACCAACAGTAAATTATCCAATATCTTTTTAAGCAATCACCGTAATAAACATCTGCACTAATCTATTATAATAGAAAATAACCTTAATGCATATAACAAATATAAAAAATTTTAATTACCAAGGCAAATCGTTACATTGATTAAAATAACATTTCAGTTAAATTATTTGAGGATAACATGTCGCAATTGATCGTACTGGTCTTGCGTGGCATCACATGTCGCACAGCTACCCTAATGTTTATAGCATTAGTAGGTTTAAATAAAAAAGCATGATATCGATACTTAACTGACTAATCATATGATTTATTTCAGCATCCATTGATGCTGAAATACTATGACGTGTACAGTATTTAATCTGGCAAGAATGTGACTTTAGCGTCAATCAAAATATACCAAAGTTAGAGACTAAACTCGAGTCTACTCGTAACTTAAAAACATAGCCTTGACTCGAGTTAATTCGAGTTAAGACGGTTTTTTAAGCTACGAGCTGACTCGAGTTCAGTCTCTAACTTTGGTATGTTTCGATTGACGATGTCTTAAATGAAAGCTAATACAGAAGCCACATTCTTACCAGATTAATACTGTACATGTCTTGGGATTGAAACTGCCTAAAATTTTTCTTAATCATTTAATCATTTAATTGTTTAACCGTTTAATTTGGCTGGCATTAAAATAATTCCGGCTCACGACTAAAATAATTCTACCCGGAACTATAGAGCAATTTTTAAATGGTAAACGGTTTCAATCCCTATACACGTGTATTTTAGCATCCATGGATACCAAAATAAATCACATGATTAGTCAGTTAAGCATAGATATTAAAAAGCCTCATGCTTTTTTATTTAAATCTACTAATGCTATAAAAATATTCTTTTTAATCATGATATTCAAAAGGGTATACTTTATTTTTCACATTAGGAAATAAATGATTTTTTACTACATAATTTAAGTTGCAACTGTGATTTTAACTTATTCACAATTTTTTGGCATTAGCAGACTTTTACTATGAAATATACCTGCTTAATAATATGTATAATCTATTTTGCCAACTGCGCGTCGTATTGTTGTGATATATGTTTTTGAACATAAAATTATTAATATACATTGCTTTGAATAAAGCTAAATTCTAAATGGGTTCAATTGAGGATTTTACAATATTTTTTAGTTTATAAACATTGCTTTGAATAAAGCTAAATTCTAAATGGGTTCAATTGAGGATTTTATAATATTTTTTTAGTTTATAATTCTATACATTGCTTTGAATAAAGCTAAATTCTAAATGGGTTCAATTGAAGATTTTACAATATTTTTTTAGTTTATAATTCTACACATTGTTTTGAATAAAGCTAAATTCTAAATGGGTTCAATTGAGGATTTTACAGTTTATAATTCTACACTTTTTTTATTTTTCTATTGTAACCTTTTGAGTTTAAATTTTATTATTTTATTAATGATTAAGCTTTTGTTTTATTGTTATATTTGCATTATGATTCCAAAACTTTATATTTAATATATATTCATGAATCTTAAAATGTCGTCTAAACAACGATGTCACAAGATATAACAACTCTTCTCAAACTATCACAACCTCAAGATATTTTTTAATCAATTTTAAAATCATTTCTATTACTAATTCTATATCGATTTAATTAATCGTAGTAGCAATATTTTCAACTCCTTTTCTGAGAATTGACTTTCCACCTTTACCACATCTTACCCCTAAGGTGGCCAAATTTGCCTTTGCATACCATACAAACAATTTTGAATGGCGTAAAATGAAGATATGCGGTAACTCAATTATTTCATTCTTTACTGCCAAAATCATGAATAGCTTACCCTATAAATCATACGATTTTCAAGAATTATTAAAAAGTATCATGCTATCGGACAAAGTTCTCGCATACTATGCAATATATTTAGAAATTCATATTGATAATAGAATGTGTGATCACTTGATCGATAGCAATCATGCAAACTCATTCAGTGTTTGGGTTTACAGATATCAAAAAAGCTTTGGGGCTCTGGTGTGTGAGCAATTCATTGAGTCATTAATACAACCATTGATGAATTCTTTATATTGTTTAGATTTAAAAAATAACGAAGAAATTGTTAACCTCCTAAATAATTACTTTAAAGTTTTCTGGGTAGCAACTTCTTAAAAAAAGTATTAATATGATAAAAAAAATAAAGCTACTGAAAGATATTTGTGTTTTCAAGAAAAAGCTTTAAGACACAAATATGAACAAATTATCATTAGGAAT